TGTGGTAGTTAGGTTGAGCATTTTGGGTATCCAATATCAGACCGATACCGCTCCAGAGTATCGATCTGAATACTTTCTGTTTCATTAACATCAGCAGTGTATGGAATCTGGGGGGTTCAAATGTTAAGAAAAACAATTGTGAAGGGAGGTGATAATTCGTAGATACGTATATAATAGAAGCAGCAGCATCTGTTATCACTCAAAAGTGTTGATTAGAGCAGAAGCTACTTGGAATTAATGGGATCACAATTCCATGGTTCCAGCTGTTCTTTTGGAGAAATATGTTTTATTTGTTTCCTATAGTAGGCAATTCACACCACAGGTGTGACAGCTGACGCTGCGAATTCTGCACTGACTGTTCTGCGTGTGACAAATAGTTTGTATCATTGTATACAGGATATTTAATGGGACGTATAGGAAATATAAATTCGAATTAGCCGTATTGAAAATACATATAGTAATGTGTTCACAGATAAGGGACAAATGTGGGACTGGGCACATTAGATTGGAAACGTATCTAAATGTACAGTCGCAGATGGACCTATTGTCCAACGTCTTTTCAATGGAGGGCACGGAGACATTTTAAATTACCGGTCTTATCGTGCAGCGTCCTGATGGTCAACAAATGTTGCACAGCACTGTAAAAACAGTATGCTCTTTGTGCTCAATGTAGTGTTTTACATAAAAAAATAAATAGTATAAAATAATGAATTGTTTACCATAAAAACCATAGTCTTTAGTGGAAAATATAATGTTTGAAAAACTGTTAGAACCTGCACTTAAAAGTGTTTGTGATCCTTTTTTTTTCTTCTTTTTTTTCCATAAGTGTTATCCACATTCTCCCTCAGGTCAAACAACTCTGCGAATGCATGCGAGGGTTTATCAGCTCTGGCCCTGACCTGCATTAATGAGAGCACCAGCCCGAGGTGAACACAGTCATTCTTCTCCCCTGTATCTTCAGCATTAGCACTGATAGCACAGTTCTAAGGCATGCTTTAATCTTCCTGCCAATAACATGTTAAACCTAATTAGGAATGTGGGGAGAAACATCTTCACATCTTGGGTTTTTAAACATATATTTTTTTTAATAAATCAATTCATAGTCTGTGGAAAATGTTTATATTGCCAATTAAATCTACACACAAAGGGACCGATGATTTTGACTTGAGTCTTTTTTAAGGAAGGCTACATAGTCAACATACAGAACAGGCAAAACAGGGAGCGGACAGTGTTGGTCATTAAAATCCTCTGCAAAGAAAACTAAAGGAGACATCACTGCATCACTAACTGAGATGTATGATAAAAAAAGATCACTTTATTAATGAATTAGAAATGCATAAAATTTAATTTAGAAATTTTAAACAGGGCAGGAGTAAAGAGCTGCAATTTATGTGAGAGTGACAAGGATTGATGAACTTCAGCTTAATAATTGTTAAATTAATGACTGCCGCGCGGTAATGAGCTTTAAAAATCTATATCCTGTGTTTGTTTTATTGATACTGGTTCATGACGTTCTCCTATGAGTTCTAATTACAGACCAGTGCATACTAATGCTATTTAAAACCCAATAATGTAAACTCAAACAAAATGCTGAGAAAAATATTCACAGTGGAGCTAAGTATGAAACAGGGGTCACCAACTATATTTGTTAGAGGGACAGAACTGTTCTGGACAGACAGCTTGGGGGCTGGACACTCAAATAAAATGAAATAAAAATCTATTTTTTGTCTAACATTATTATATAACGTTGTTTTGTTATTTAATTACAAAACAGAATACACTTTTAGCCTTTAATAGTGGGATTCAATCTTGGGCTGGATTTGACAATTCAGTGGGCCTGATTTGGACCGCAGGCCGCCAGTTGATAGTCACTGATATGAAAAATGACTTCTCTCAAACAGTGTGCCTGTACACAGCAAAAACACTGCTCTTTTAAAGCTAAGTGAGTCCCAGAGAGTTCACTTTGACTGGAAACCGGAAAATAAATCATTCCATTTCAAATGCAGGAAAACCCATGATCCAGTTGTGTTATATATAATGAGGATGAATCAGGGTTCCCTGAAGCTTTAGGACCGACACTATATGAAGGTATAACAGCACTAGCTCGTGCTCGTTAAAAAATAATCTTCCACATCTCCTTCATGAAGCAAAAGACCCGATTTCCAAGTCCAAAGTCAAATTCAAAAAGTCTGTCGATTCAGATGCTCGTACAAATATGGTAATGCACTGAGCACATTTGCCTAAAATGAATAATAAACCTGAAGGATTTTTCCAACACAAACAATAGCACTCACATACAATACCTCTGACTGGTTATTTACTTTCAGGGTCACAGTGAGCTCTATCCCATAATACACTGAAGTGGAGCCGAGAAAATCTAGCAGGAGATTACTTGGTTATTTTTCCATCCTCGTGAATTCTTTTTGCCCTTGTCATTTTATTCCCATGACCCGGCTGTCATTGGACACACTGGGAAGGTTAAAGCATCCATACAATATAGTTTATTTTGGTTGTGTGCCTCAAGAAAGTCATTAGCAGCGGTATGAAAACTCAAGGACAAAGTGATTCATACCAAGGAGCCGACGGAAAAATTATCAGAGGAAAAAAAAAGAGAATAATTAAAGGGAATTACAGCCACCTCAGCTCATTTCCTATATATCAAGCCTGTCTGTCTCCTTCAGTAAACAACGGGAGCGACTGAGACGCGGCTTGATTAAATATACACAACATCAGACGATGGTTAAGCTCCAGATCAATAGATAATTACCAGCAATCCAATTATCTTTCAAACAGTGGATGAGCTGCTGCGGATTTTTTTATCTTCTCAGCCGCAGATGGTATTTCTACGTGTACTGTGACAGTAGACAAACACTCAGATGACGGATAATCTCATTAACCTGATAATGTTGTACTCAAATGTACTCATACAGCTTCATGTTCAACGCCACCGAATGTATACACAAAATATCTTTAATAGCATCCATTTCAGGTAAATCCAGGTTTAAACCTTCCTCAGACAAGTCTGCAGTCAATACAACGTAAAAGCTGAAAGTACAACATCGTCTTTAGACAGTATCTGAACTGGAATTCAGAAACTGTTGAGAAGAGATGTTGCTTCCTCAACACTGAAGCTTTTTAAAGAGCTTCTAATCCAAATCTCCAATTCTTCATTCATCTTCACCATGTCTTCTACCACCTAATCCTTCTCAGGCTTCTAGGGAGCTGCAGACAAACATGGCCGCCATTGGGCGAGTGTGGAAAACACCCGTAACAGTTTGCCTGGTTATCGTAGGGCCATAATTCTATGTGGCCCTACAGTTTTTCGACCGTGGAGTACCAGTAGAAAACCTGCGAACTGGTGATTCCAATTATTCAAAATATTTGAAAGAAATCCAGACCAAACCTTCTTAGCTGTGTTTTTTAGTGTCTTTTGCATTTAGTGAAATAGTAAAGATGCACCAGTTGACCGGCCAGTGGCTGGACTCAGACGGTTCGCAGCATAATGGGTCCTTAGTGTTGACCAGCAAACCAGAAAACAGATTTCCTGTACTGCACCCAGCTGAGCCTGGTAATAGAAGTATCCACCCATACAGTAGCTCTGCATGTGTCCTGGCTCACCAATTCTCAACATATTCTGTATAAGGCAAAAAGAGAAAAACTTCCCCCCAATTTTTTCACATGACCAAGAGGAGATATGCAGCAGTGTATTTCTTGTGTTCCTGCCTTAACACACCACAGCTGGACGTATACTCAAAGTCATAGTAGGGGACAGACCTGCTGCTCTTCATGCACCACACATTTTTACTGCAGCACACAGCCTAATGTAGACCCTGTGGTGGTTAACAAGCACAGAAAGACGCCTGGAGAAACATAATGGCAAGTGGAGGAGGACATTTGAGCAGTGGCTCTAATTAAATTAAATGAACCTGGATCATTTTTCTTGGATACTTTGGTATATTTACACACAATTTCACAGAGCATATGCTATGATTAAGAAATTGCAATCTCTTTACCTTGGTGTCTCGCTGTATTCACTGAGCAAAAATACTACTTATTAACCACATGTGAGCAGAACAGGAAACTATATGAATAAATTACAGTTTGAAAAGCGGCTGTAAATGTTGTTAAGGCAGTACAGACATGGCACAGAGACCAGTGCTGTTGAGGTGCTAACACAGAGGTGTCAAAACTCATTTTCACCGGGGGCAGGGGGCCACATGAGCAATACAGCTGCCCTTGAACAGCCTGTTGAAACTGTAAGACTGTATAGACATAACTACTCTAAAACGTATTAATAAATAAATGTTTCTGCAACTGATTATTATATAAAAAAAAAACTTTTATTTCATCAGGCAAAGAAGATGCTGCAAAGACTTTTACTTTTTAAACTCCTGCGGGCCATATAAGACGACATGGTGGGCCACAATTGGGCCCCCCGGGCCTTGAGTTTGACACGCGTGTGCTAAAAGGAATTGGGAGGTAAAAGTTGGTGTTGGTGTCAAGGTAATATTCCCATCATTTACGGTTTGGCTTCAAATGTTGGGTAGAGAAGACGCAGCATTCAGAGATTAAAGAATCCAAATCCAAATTGAGTCAGGAGTGAAAAACCTCTGACAAGAAACCAGTGTGTACCAGTGATACCAACTTCTATCAAAAGAGAGGGACGCAGCAAACAGGTTCAGGTTTTAAAATAACAACCTCCTAATAACTAAGCAGCCAAATCAGATGTTTTTGTAGAGCCAAAATTCACAAATCACATTTGTCTCAAGCACTGGTGCTGTACTTACGTGTCTGTGTGTGTGGAGTGGAGGGGGGGAGGGGGGTGGGGGAGTGTTTATACTGTTAATGTTACACAGAGTTTATATTGACAATACAAAGCAGTATGTGTTTGATAAATATTTTTACAGGCAGTATCATCGTATACAAGTGCTGATCACACACACTTATCTTGTTTTCACAGCACTAAAAGTGAAAAAAAAAAAAAAAACACCCTGTCTTACCAGACTGTGATCTGTGATACTGTGGATCCAGTTCTTCAAAACATGATGGTTTTCCATTACATCAGAGGTGAAGCAACGTTGTTGTCTGGAGAAAAAGAAATTACAAAAACAAATTAATACTGAAGTAACTGTGGTAACTACCACCACAGGACTTTAAATGTAAAGCCTTGTTCTTAACGGCAGCTGGTGGTGGGTGTGTCATTGTTTGCCTGAGGTGAAATCACAGGTTTTCCCCATCATATTAGCATATCACTTCAAATGCTACGAGGACCTCAAACTTCACAAACCTGACAGAAACCTGTCCTCAGGGTCTTCCTCATTAGAGCGTCTGTGGTGAAAGTAGTTGCAGGAATATGGTGCAGCCCTGTGTTATTCACAGAGTTTACTTTCACCTGTGGTCGCCCCACTGTGGCAGATGTTTGATTCGATGTTATCAGAATCCGCTTCACACTTGAGGTGTGATGGTGAAAGTGAACATTTGACTTTCAAATGAGCCCAGCCAGGCTAAAATTGGAAGTAGCGAAAGTTTTGTTTTTATAGTAAACTAACAAGTGCATTTATATATGGAAAGAAACATGGTGAATGACAATGACAGGACGTCCTCAGTTTATGACGTCCTCGACCTACGGCGTTTCGTGGTTACGTTGTCATCTCCAATAAATGTATTAAGAACGTTTTGTTCCATCATTCTGACGTACTCGCCAACTGTTCTCAGGGCAAACTGAGTGGCTGAACATGACGTCACATGGCACTATACACAGGTGGCGTCTTAATTTACATTCACAGGTTTGCAGTACATTGACTTACTTTCATTTGTGTTGTTTTTTTGGGGTAACATTTTGCCCTTCATTCTGGCTCCCAGGTGTCAGTCAGACTCTCTGATGTTTTTATGTTCTAGACTGTGATGTTACCACTGTGTTAGAGTAGGTGAGTTCAGACATAGGGTCAAACTCAAGTTATGTCACACCATAGGAACTGAACTCTGATGCAAGTCAAGGCTCTTATTATTATTTTATTCTTCTGTAGTTGTCGTACCATCATGGTGATTAGACTCATTATTGTTATCAAAGTATCTCCATTTAGTTTTTTAGTCAGAAAGACCACTGATATAACACATCCATTATTACAGCTGAAATGGTTACATATGCAATTTTACATCTTGGCCTAGAAGTCAGACTAATGTGTTTTCAGGTGTTTTTCTATTCATTTCACCCAAGTGAGTCACATAATGCTTTGGTATAACCCCACAACCTGTAGGTAATTTACTTTAAAAAAGAAAAACGTTGCAGACTGTGAAAGTATCAGGTAAATGAACATTCAGAGAACAGGGAAACAGGCAGGACACAAATGCAACACTCGAGAGACGTGGCTCAGTGTCAGAAGGTTGATTCATCGACCAAGACTTTCTCAAAAAGTTTCAGGCACTTACTGGACACCAGGGCCATGTAGGAACAATCAGGAACACTGAAGATCAAGAACACCAAGGATCAAGAAACAAGGAACAGAACGCATGAACACCAAACACACAAAAAACTCTAAACATGGAACCAACGTGGTATGAACAAGCAACGCTGAACACCGCAGCAAGACTGCAGCAACACTAGCAGCTACACTGCACAACAACCTGACGAGGACTGTGTGAAGGAGAGAGCAGAGACCAGGTGACACCAGTGAGACTGATGAACAAGGAAACACGGGTGAGAGTGATGACACTGCACAGTCGCACACAGCAGAAGACAGAGCTCACACTCACCTCATAACTGAAAAACAATGGTTTGAGATTAGTATATATATATATATATATAAATGTATATATATATATATATAAATGTATATATATATATCACTATTACTGACATACTGACATTTTAACCATTCACCAATTATGAAGTGCCAAGCTGAGCAGCACATACCAGTTTCTCGGGGCAGTGAGGCCTGACATCTGCTCCACATGTGATACATTCTTTTTGACAGCCATCACTGAGGACAGTGGCAGCAGGGTAATGTCCCTCAGACCCTGTGGGTCAGTCCAGGCCTGATTTGCTGTGACACGGCTTTCCTGTTCAATTACAGATAACTACTTCTCCACCAATGTTCTCAGAGCTACATTGAAGTCGGCAGGTCACCTTCACATCAAGGCGTCATTTTTCAGTGTGAATAATGTTTTAACTTCCCAATTCAGAACACATACTCTCTATTCTCTCCACCAACAAACAACTTCATTTACTACTGACCAGTGGCACACTGTCACTGTGCAGCCTTTTGTACGTGTGGCCTC